CAGGTCCTTAATAAGTTGCAAAACTGGGAGAGCTTATTGCCGAAAATCTTTGCCCTTCTTGAAGATGCAGAAGAAAAGCAGATGTCTAATTCCAGTCGGTTGATAAAGATATGGCTCGCTGAAATTAGGGACTTGGCTTATGATATAGAGGACATCTTAGATGAATTTCAAGTTGATTCTCAGAGAAGCAATTTGAATATTACAAAACCTCACCAAGCCAGCACTAGCAAATTCATCCCCTCATGCTTCAACTGTTTCAAACAGAGTGATTTGTTGATCTCTAATCCCCTTACCCTTTCTAAGGTGGATGACATCACCCTCAAGTTGCAACGCTTGGTAGATGAATCGAAGTTACTTGGCTTAGTAAGGCAAGTTGGAGATAAGCCTAGTGGAATGGCTAAAGGAAGGTCACCCACTACTTCTCTACCTGAACTTTATGTTTGCGGTCGACAAACTGAAAAAGCAGCTATTCTTGACAAGTTGCTCAATGATGAAGGTGGTTGCAAAGGATTTAGTGTTATTCCCATCCTTGGAATGGGAGGCATTGGTAAGACCACTCTAGCTCAACTTGTTTACAATGAGGTGACGCTAGAAAACTTTGAGCTTAAATCCTGGGTTTGTGTCTCTGATCAGTTTGATATTACAAGCATAACAAAAGCCATTTTAGAAACAATTGGGGGAAAGTGTGATTTTAATAATTTAGATTCACTTCAACGAGAATTGAATAGCAAGTTATCTAGCAAGAAGTTTCTGCTTGTATTGGATGACATTTGGAATGAGGACCCCTCTTTGTGGGACAATCTACAAAAACCATTCTTATCAGGAGCAGCTGGAAGTAAAATAATCATCACAACTCGCAATGAGCGTGTTGTAGAAATGATGGGAGGAGTGGATAAAGTTTGCAGTCTAGAAGTAATGAAGGATGAAGAGTGCTTGTCAGTGTTTGCTCAACGTGCATTGGGAACAGACCATTTTGATGCGCACCCAGATCTAAAAGAAATTGGGGAAAAAATTGTAAAAAGGTGCAAAGGATTGCCATTGGCTGCAAGAACCCTTGGGGGCCTCCTATGTGGTAAGTTAAACCGTTCTGCATGGGAAGACATTTTAAACAGTGAAATATGGGAGCTGCAAGAAAGTGACATTCTTCCAGCTTTAAGATTGAGTTATCATTATCTTCCTTGTTATTTGAAGGCATGTTTTGTCTATTGTGCATTGTATCCTAAAGACCATGAGTTTGAGAAGAACCAGCTTGTTTTGTTGTGGATGGCAAGTGGGGTTTTACAGCAACAATCTGTAAAAGCTGGTCATCAGTATTTCAACGAGTTAGTTTCTAGAGCTTTTTTGCAGTGATCCAGTGGGAGTGAGTCAGGGTTTGTGATGCATGATCTCATACATGATTTGGCTCAATTTGTTGCTGGAGGATCATGCTTCAATCTCGAACATAAGTTTGAAGTTGATAAAAAATCAAAAGTGAATTATGAAAAGGTTCGTCATTTGTCTTGCATCCGTGGTGGATGTGACATCTCTAAGAAATTTGAAGTCTTGAATGTCATGAAGTGTTTGCGAACATTCATTTCAGTTGGTTCAAGCGGGTGGTGTTATCTATCAAATACAGTGGTGCATGATTGGCTGCCAAAACTAAGATGCTTGAGGGCATTGTCTCTTGAGGGATATCAGATAAATAAGTTGCCAGATTCAATTGGAGATTTAATACATTTGAAGTACCTTAATTTGTCAGAAACTCTAATTGAAAGCCTACCTGAGTCAGTGGGTTTCCTCCTCCAATTACAAACACTGTTGCTCTTTAATTGCCACCATTTTTTGAAGCTACCTGTGGCAATTGGGAACTTAATTGACCTCCATCATTTGGATATTAGAGGTACATATTTATTGAAAGAGATGCCATCGGAAATAGGTAATCTCAAAAATCTCTTAGCATTGTCCAAATTTATTGTGGGGAAGGAAGAAGGATTGATGAGATTATCTTATTTGAAAAACTTCTCGCAACTTGGAGGTAACCTGTCCATTTTGAATTTGCAGAATGTTTTGAATGTTCAAGATGCCATGGAAGCCAATCTAAAGAATATCAATGGTCTTGATGAGTTACTGTTAGAGTGGACTTCTGATTTTGGTGATTCAAGGAATGAAAGCAAGGAAGAAATGCAGGTCCTCAATTTGTTAAAACCCCATTCAAAATTGAAGAGTTTCACAATTGTTTCCTATGGTGGCCAAAAATTCCCTCCATGGATTGGTGATCCAATTTTTTCAAATTTATCATATTTGAAGCTCAAAGATTGTAAGAGATGCACTTTGTTACCGCCACTTGGGTTATCACCGGTTCTTAAAGAATTGATTATCAAAGGCATGGAGGGAATAGAAGCAGTGGGTCTAGAGTTTTATGGGAACGGAGCTTTTTCATCACTAGAGAAGCTGGTTTTTCGAGGCATGTTAAATTGGAAGGAATGGACTTCTCCAACCGGAAGTGGAGGTGAATTCCCTTGTCTGGTGAATCTTGAGATTAGAGATTGTCCAAAGTTGACAGGACAATTACCCAGCCACCTTTCCTCTTTGGTGAATCTTGTGATAAGTGGATGCCCAGATTTAAGATGCTCATCTACTTTGAGTCTTATGCCACTTAAAAAGCTTCATATTAGCAACTGCAATGTTATTCTTTTGAAGAGCATGGTTGATCTCACCTCTCTAACTCAATTGACCATTGAGAATATTTCAGAGATGTCTTGCTTGCCTAAGTGTTTTACACAGTTCTTAACAGCTCTTGAGAATCTTGAAATTGAAGGGTGCAGAGAACTTACTTGTTTGTGGGAGGATGGATCAGAAACAATAAACCTTGCTCGCCTTGAGAAAATGAAAATTAGGAGTTGTCCTTTGCTTGTGTCGTTGACAGGGAAAGAACAAGGCCTCTTGCCTTTGAATCTTAAACGGCTTGCGCTCTCTAGTTGTGAG